GTATCTGCATTACCTTAGCTCATCCTCTCCATTTCTCTTGGGAGCAAACAGGCTCACCAAAGCTCCTTTGAACAAAGTCTCCTTTCGCTGGTAGTATTGGAACTTGGGTCTGTTTCCCCAGGGAGGGAAGAGTGGGCCCAGGTTGGTGTCTGCAGCCCCTGTAACACAATGGTCAGAGGAGGGTTGACCAAGCCAGTGGTCAAAGTAGGGTCCCTGGAGAAAGGATTACCCCCAAAATTCCAGTTCCAAGAAGTACGACCCAGGCCTTGCCCATCTGTGCCCACAGTCCCTAGCTGCGATGCTCCAAAGGGAATGGAATTTACTCTGACTTCTCTCTAGGGGGAACGCAGGCGCAGAAGGCCGGGGGCCTGGCAGGCTAACTCGAGACCCAGCCCCCCGAAGTGCCCCAGGCCTTCTGGCTTCATTCCAGCCTAGCCCGAAGGGGACAACATCTGCTTTCTCCAAGGGTCCCAGCTGGAGGGTAGAGAGGAAGAAACAGAGAAGGGGGATCCTTTGTGGACCCCACTCCAAGGGGTTCGTGGGGATCAATCATCTGAAAGCTGGAGCGACTTGTAATTTTATTCCCTGGGAGGAGGAGCCTGAGAAGTCGGCCAGGAGGGTGGGGATGGGGGGGGTGGGGTTAGGCAGCCAGGGGAACTGTTCAGGGAGGGGAGGGACTTGGCAAGGTCTCCCAAGCCTTCTCCACTCTCCAAACTTTCACCAAACTCTTGGCCCCCGCCTCCCTGAAACCAAAACACAAGAAGCTCTGGAGGAGCCGCGAACAGCGCGGCGGGGCGGGCTGACTCCGGGCGGCACTGAGCCTCGGGAGGCTGATGCAACTTTCCCTTTAAGAAAGCCACCTGGGCGCACCGCGGTGTGGACCCAGCACGCCTGGGCTGGGGGCTGCAGCATGGTAAGGGGGCTGACGGAAGCGGGCGCTGCGGCCCGCATCACTGTCTGTCTTGCCGTAGGTCTGGGTGTTTGGTGGCTCCGCGGGACTGAGCCCCAGGACTAGAGTGCGTGCGTGCGTACGTGCGTGTGTGTGTGTGTGTGTGTGTGTGTGTGGTCGCACAAGCATGCGGGCATCTGTGGGTAAGAGTGTGGGTGCATGCACGGGGATGTCTGTCTCGCCGCGAAGGTTGGGGTAGGTGCGCGCGTCTGGGTGTCACCACTGTCACCAAGAAGCCGAAGCGGGCAGGAACGGCGGCTGGGCGAAGGTGGGGGGGGGCGCTCCTGGAGTGGGGGCGCTGCGTGCCGACGCCGGCTCGGTCGGGGGCGGCGGGCGCAAGGCTGTGCTGGTAGCACGGGAACCACAGTGTGTCACGGTCCGTCTGAGGCGCCAGTGGGTCTGCGCGCCGGGGTCTGCGGGGGCCGGGAACCCGCAGGCCGTGTCTGCGCCCCGCGTGCGGGCTCCGGCTCCATCGCCTCGCACCGCTGGCTGGCCGGCCTGCCTATCTGACCCCTCCAGCCGGCCTGCCTCTCTATCTGTCCGCCCACTCGCTGGCGCTTGCAGGTTCCCGCGCGCCCGCCGGTCCCGGGAAGCCGCGCCCGGGGTTCCTGGCGCCCTCAGGCTCTCTTTGTCTGCGACTCCCGGCCACGGCTTTGGACAGAGACTATGGCCGTTGAGTTCTTTAGGAGCTGCTACCCCGGGAAGAATCCGCGCGCTCCCCATCCCAACCTTCATTCTAGGTGTTTGTAGGGCGGGCCCGGGAGGCCACAGGTGAGGGCAGAGGCCTAGAAACCCGGGGCGCCCACTCCCAGCTGGCGTCCCGCACTCCTAAGCCCTGGCCGGGCGGGAGAAGGCGGCGGGGCCCGGGCCAGACAGGAGGGGGGTTTGCCCAGAAGGCCGGGAGGGGCCGGAGCCGGCCAGGGGGCGGGGCAAGGGGGCGGGTACCTGGGCGCCCCGGTACTTTTCCACGGCAGGGGGCGGGGGCGGGGCCACCGCCTCCACACCAGCTGAGAGGCCCACACGTGGTGGCTGATGTAACGCCCGCCCCTCCCATACTGCTCGCATCCCGATTAAAGCAGACGCGCCTCGCTTCGAAGAATCGGGGCGCTCCGGGTGGTGCCGCAGCCCCGAAAGCAACCGCGCCCCTCCCTGCCTACCAGCTGGGGGCCTCCTCTCAGTCTGCGGGCCGCTTCTTAAAGGAGCCGCGCCTCCTTTCAGGCCTGCTCTCCGCAGACCACGCCTCCTCGCTGGTCACTTAAAGGAGCCAAGTCCCCGGCTCTCTGACAGCTCCCGCACAAAGCCTGGGTCTATTTGCTGAAAGAAGCCTGATGCTGCTGCCGCTGCTAAATGATAAAGGTTGGGGGGCGAAGAAGGTTGGAGAAGGAGAGAAGGACCTGGACGTTAAAGACTCTCAAAGCGAGGGAGTATCAGAAGGTTAGAGAGTAGTGGGTGAGGGGACTGGTTCTAGGAAGGGACTAGTGGGCGACACTGAGCATGCTCAAGTGTTTACCAGGACCGCAGGGAAAACGCCCCCTTACTTGGCTTGCGCTGCAACTGCGGCGGTACCGCTCAGTGCCCATCCCTGGGGACACAGAAAAATCACACCCCTGCTCTGGAAGATCTCTCCAGCTGGTGGGGAGCCAGGTTTGGATACAAGTAACCATGCCGCAACACTACGTGTGATGAGAATATTAATCAGATGTACACAGCCTGCTTTGGGGGTACAGTGGAAAGGTTGCAATTGGAAGGAGAAAAGAAGGCTTCTTGAAGATAATGGTATTGGGACAGGTTTTGAAGATGGATAGGATAAATACAGATGGAAATGGAGACAAGAGCGTTCAACGAAGAAGGAACCGCCACAGCAATGATGGGAATGATGAATAGTCCTACATGGCCACAGGTAGCCATGGGTAGGTGACCTGGGCTCCAGGCAGAACCAAGCCCCGCCCCCCCCCATCACAGTGAATGGAGATTATGATTCCTCCTCTTTCTCTTGAAATGTGAGGTCACTGAGGGCAGGGAAAGAGCCTATTCCCTTTCCATCCCCAAAGAGAACTGCAGGGCTTGGCCCAGATGGACCTTTAAAATTGGTTGACCTGACAGTCCTGTTTCAGGGGAGAGGAAAGACTGAGCAATGAGACTGTAAAGTGGTCTGGGTCCTGTGACTACCCTCTTACCATCTGCCCTTGGGTAGGCTCACAGGCAACTCAAACCCAACTTGCTCTACACAGTTCATCCTCTCTCCATTCCAAACCTGCAGAATTTCTGTCTCTGGGACTGGCACTGCTTCTTCCTTTTGCACCAGCAGAAACCAAAGACTTTCCTTTTCTCTCATTCCCCAAGTCCAATTCATCACCAATTCCTACCAATGTTGCCTTCTATGTTTTTCTCAAATCTGTACCTTTCCCGCCTCACCATCACCTTCCTATCAAAGCTCCCTCATCTCTAGCCTGGCCTATTCCTAATTGATTTCCTCTCTTCCACTCTCCTTTCTCTCCAGTCCTTTCTCCATGCTGTATGTAGGGTGTTTTTTGTTTTGTTTTGTTTTAAAGATTTTATTAGGGAATTGGGGAAGGGAACATTGTGTTTTTCCAGGACCCATCAGCTCCAAGTCAAGTTGTCCTTCAGTCTTAGCTGTGGAGGGCGCAAGCTCAGATCCAAGTCCAGTCGCCACTTTCAGTCTAGTTGCAGGGGGAGCACAGCCCACCATCCCATGCAGGAGTCGAACTAGCAACCTTGTTGTTAAGAGCACGCGCTCTCACCAGCTGAGCCATCCGGCTGCCCGTTGGCAGCTCAGCCGCAGCTCAGCCGCAGCTCACTGGCCCATGTGGGAATCAAACCGGCAACCCTGTTGCTCAGAGCTTGAGCTCTAACCAACTGTGCCACCTGGCCGGCCCTCTAGGGTGTTTTTAAAATGCATATTCCACCAATTGCTCCTCACAGTTACAACTCTGCTTTAAAGCCTTCAATAGCTACCATTGCCCTCGGGGTAAAGACCAAAATCCAGCCCCCACAGGCCCTGACCCTGCTTATTTGTCCACCTTCAGCTTTCACCACTTTCTCCCTGGCTGTCTGAGTCCCAGACTCAGGGTCTTTCCACATATTGTTTCATTTGCTTGAATCTTTCTTCCCCTTCCCTTTCTCACTATTGCCACATTGCCATATTCACTCCTTCTGACCTTCAAATGTCACTTCCTCAGGGAAGTCCTCTGTACTCTCAGACAGGTCAGGCCCCCCTCCTGTGGACTCTCATCAAAGGATCTTCTCCTTTACACCCTTTATCTCAGTCTTTAATTATGTATATTTAAGACAGCAGTTCCACTCTTCCCCCTATCCTGTAAGCTTCAGGAGGGCAGAGACCAATGAGTTCTTGGTGCTAGCATAAGTCTGTCCCAGAGAAAGCTTGAAATAAATATTTGTGGAATAAATGAATTGAATGGTGGCCAGCCTCAAATGCCTGCTAAACAATTTAGGCCATATCCTGTTGGTTGTGGAGAACTATTGGAGAAAAACAGGGCTTTCAGGCTTTGGGAAGATAAATGGATTTGAGACGATGAAAACATGGAGACCTTGCAGTCAAGTCAAAAACGAAGCAGAGGGCCCGCCGAGTGGCGCGATGGTTAAGAACTGGCTTGGGACGCCAGAGGGCCCCGGTTCGGATCCCACATATGAGGGCCAGTGACACTGCCCTGCCCTCCACAGCTAAGATGCTGAACAACAGCTCAACCTGGAGCTGGGCTGCTGTGAGTCGCCGGCGAAGGCATAGGATGCAGCCCCTGTGGCAGTGGGTTGCCATGGGCTACTGTGTGTAGCCAGCAGCCAGCGTGAGTGGCCAGCAGCCGCAGTGAGCGGCCGTCCAGAAGCCGGCGACTGATCTGCCTCACCAGGGAAGAGTGCAATGATGGTGCCAACTTGGGCCAGTGAAGCAACATCCTCCACAACTAGACTGAAGAACAAAAGGACAGCAACTTATCTGTTCCCCTTTCCCCAATTCCCCAGCACTGTTCCCATCCCCCCAATTCCCCAATAAAAATCTTAAAAAAAAAAATGAAGCAGAAACTTCAGAATTTACAAAGGAAATAGCATTGGCCCCATCTTCCAGACTGAGAACACTGAAGGTCCGAAAGGTTAAGTCACTTGCTTGAAGTCATATACCGAGTGACTGGCAGAGCCAGAATTCCAGCTCAAGGCTACCAGGTCCCAGAGCCCAAGCTCTTCTTCACATGCTGAACTGACTCCTACCCACTGCTTGTTAATGGTGGCCCCTGTGTGGGTTAGAGGCAGGTCTGGTGCTTAGGTAACATGGATCTCCAAAATCTAGAAGAGGGCCTGGCATGTCATGGGCATTTAGTTGGTACTCTTTGAATGGATGGGGCCATTTAACAGTAATGTCAGAAGCTGGAGAAGCAGCACAGTTTTATGCCCAACTCATTCTCCTCGAGTGGCCACCAAGCTGTCTTTTCCCCACGGATGTGTAAGCACCCTGTGGGCATGGACTGCATTTGCAGTCAATGCTCAGCGAAACTCCAGGTGAGAATACTCTGTAGCCTAAGTTCCAGGGCACAGTGTCCTCAGTTTACTCACCCTCACCTGACCAGAGGGCATAATGAGCCCCAACCCAACAGGTGACTCTAATGCCATCTGTTGTTATTACTTTCAATGCTGTCATTATTTGTTGGTTGAAGAGGGACAGCTTTAGGGAAGACAAATCTAGAGCTTACAGCTTGGAGGGAGGGGTGTGGTGAGTGAGGAGGACAAGGGTAGGATCTTAAGGGAACAACCCCCCTCTTTCTCCTGACTGCCTCCAGAAGAACAAAGCCATGAGCAGCGACCTCTTTAGGAGGACACTTTGAAAGGCAGAGAGGCCAGCCTGGCTGACAAAAGGGAAATGGGTACAAGTCACATCCCCACTGGCCCCAGGCTGTGCAGGAAACCTAGTGGCCAGGGCAAAGGCCTAAGGAAGCCAAGGCTGATTTGCATAGGCAAAGAACGTCTTCCTGGTCTCCTAGCCTTCCACAGACTTCCTGGGCCTGTAGGTGAGAGGTGGCCCTTGACAGGTGGCTATGAGTGGGTCAGAGTGGCAAAGAACAGCCTTTGGGGTACAGTCTGCTCCCTGGGAAGGTAGGGAAGGCCCAAGAAGCAGAGCCCAATCCTTCTTGGGACCAGGTCCTGTGGAATTTGAATGTCCTTGTCTATCTGACCCAGGTTTTTCCTCTTCTGAGAGAATTCTAGGCTACCTAAAGGTTGATGCCTGTGGTCTGTCAAAAACTACCCTCTTCCATCTGCATCTAACAATAAACCTATATACACCGGCATGGCCGTCTGTCTGCTGCCCGCTCCAGCGCACCAGCCCCACGTTGCCTCTCAGATGCTTCTTCCAAGGTCTTGGCTGACCTGGACCCTCGCTCCAGGGTCTCAGCTTTACCCATTTCCTTTCCATTCAATTCAGCCCATACTGCCTGTAAACTGAGCACTGTCCTAGGTGCTGGGCACACCGGGGTAAATGAAACACAGCCCTCGGACAACCCACAGACTCACGGTTGACAGACTTAAATGCAAATTAGTCAAATGTGAGATGATAAGGACTCTAGTAGAAGTCTGCACAAAACAGAAAGTAGAAAGCAATTTGTTCATTCTGATGAGGGAGAGTGTCAAGGAAGTCTACAGAGAAGAGGTGACACTTAAGTACAGTCCTAAAGAATTTGTAGAATTTCGCCTGTTGAGCAAGAGGGGAGGTGTTGCAGGCAGGGGCAGCCGGAGCAAGGGCAGGGAAGCATGCCCGCGCATGGTGTGTTTGGTGTGTCCAGAGCTTATGGTCCAAGTTAGTGACATAACCACAAGCCCAACTGCCCTGGAGCCCAAGCTGAGTGGCACCAGGATGAGGAAGGAACATGCTGGCTGGCTGGCTGCTGCTGTAAGTATGCTGATCCAAGCTGACTCCCCTTCAGGGGAAAGGTGGAAGCCATTCACACAGACGATGAAGGAATTGGACGCTGTCCAGTTCTGTATTAATTTTTTTATCTTTTATAGAATTGGGCATCTGGAGAGTCAAAAATAGACCTTTGCCCATTGGGACAGGAAGCCTGGATGCAGGGGAAGGGTCGGGAGAGGAGCGAGGGAAGAACTGATCCAAGGTCATCCAGAAAGGAGCAAGATGAGAAGTGGCTTGGCAGAGGGATGGCCAGGGTGGGAGGGAAGTGAGGCCTGCCAGCTGGTTGTCTAGACCCTGCACTACCTGTCCTGGAGAGCCCTGAGGGCCACACATGTCCTGCCCCTGCCTGCCCCGGCTAGGTTCTCACCCCATTCTCTGCTCTCTCCACAGCTCTTGAGGTCTGTGGCCTGAAAGGTGCTGGAAGCAGAGACTGTGACTGTGGCCTGGGACTCCAGAGCCCCGACCCACTGCCACCATGGTGGGAAAAGGTGCCAAAGGAATGCTGGTGAGTACAGGGACCAGACTGTAGGGAGGAAGGCGGACATGAACTCTGTCCCCTCTGGGACCTTCTTCCAGCTGCTTGCCGTGAAAGGAGAGACTAGGAGGCTCCATGGGGCCCCGAGTCTGGCACTGCCAGGGCTCCTGAGTGCTAGGGTTTTCCCAGGCCTGGGCAAGCAGTTTCTCACCTGGCAGGTTAGGCAGTGCCACAGCTCCAAGCCCATAGCAGGCCAGATTCTGCCATAGAGCCTGCAAAGGCATGCCAGGAGACAGGAGGCCCAATCAGCGTCCTGTTGCAAGAGACACCATGGAGAGAAGGCTGCAGCTGGTCCTGCTGGGAGCACAGTGGGAATCCTGGGGCTGTCCTGGGGCTGGGATACCCCCACCCCCACCCAGTGTTCTGCCTGCTGCAGGGAGTGTTTAGTTTGGGCTGATCAAGGGGTCCTCTGACCCTGTCTGGTTTTTCTCTATTTCCACTCTGAACAGAAACAAAGAACATTTCGTTTGACTCTTCTCCTGAGTCCTCTCAGAGAACCTCCCCTACCTCCTTCCCAAGCCATGGCCCTTTCTTTGCCCACGGCCTCAGAGCACAAGAGAGGTGGTGGTGAGGTGCCGTGAGAAGCAGAGGACAAGAGCAGGGCTTGGTGAGGGCTTTGATTCACATTGATGGGTGGAACAGGGCAGCACTGGCAGCGGGAACCAGGGAAAGGATGCCAGATCCTACCCCAAGGCAGCGGTTGTGTTTCTTCCCTTGGGATCTTGCCTCAGACAAACTAGACTGGGTGCAGTGAGAGGAGGAAGCCAGTGACTGAGCAGGGCCCCTCCCTTGGCACCTCCCTTCCCATTAATTTCTTCTGCTGCTTTTCTCATTTAGTTAAGGGTTGATTGGCCTAGGGTCTCTGCTGAGCCCTCCCCAAACAAGCCATCTATCATCAAAGATTTCTGGGACTCAAAGTACCTGGCCCGCAGGAATGGTTTGGGGGAGGGCGATAGGTGGTTCCACTCCAGGCTCAGTCCCCTCCATCCTGCTCCTCAGGCCTGCTCTAGTCTGGCTCAATCCTGGTTGGAACAAGTCTGAATGAACTAAGCTTCTAGAAGTATTCCTGAGCCAGCCGGATCTCTGGGTGCTCAGAAAAAGGCAGAGATGGAGGTCTCATGACCTAAACACTTGCTAGGGGTAGATGCTGTGATAGAACCAAGAATGGCCTCCCCTTTCCCAGAGACGTCTTGGAATTGCCATGGGCCTATCTAGGAAGTGGGGTGTGGCTCTGCCCCTTCCTCCTTAGAGATTCTGAACCCCATGAAACCTAAGAAACTCTCTGTGTACTCCCTGGCTGCCCTTCTTTCCCTGGAGTGACCCTGAAAGCACTGGGGCGAGCAGGCAGGAGAGATGTGGGACCCACGTGGGCTGTAGGGAGCATGAATCACAATGTCCCAGAAACCCTGCCGGAGCTGAGTTTCCCGGAGCCTCAGGCCAGCCGGTCTGTGGAAGGGAATGCTGCCTCGGGACTCTGTTCCCAGCACTAGGATGTGCCTAAAGATAGCTGGGTCTCGGTTTCCTCGTGCCCCCTGCCCTTTGGCTTCTGCCCGCTGCTGCTGCACTTGAGGCTCATAGCATCTGTCCCCTGGGCACCCCCGTGGTTGTTCGACATTCTATTCCTGCCTCTTTTTCAGTTCTGCTGATGACCTTGGGCTACGCTATTCTGCTATTCTTGGGCCCAGTTTGGAACTGAAGCCTCCTCCATTCACTGCTTGTCTCTAAGATACAGCCTCTGAGGAGCGCCTAGCTAACCTAGGTAGCTCGGCCGGCACTTTATTAGGTGCTGTGTTTTCCTAAGGACAAATGGCTAAGGATGCTTCTTTTAGACATACCCCTTCTCTAGATGCCATGGTAAGGCAGGACAGGGGGCCATGTATGTAAGCCAGTGACACTTGGACCATCCCAGGTCTGTGGCTTCTGTCACTGTTTCTGCCCTGGTAGGCAGGGGGTGGGTCTCACCGTGAGGATGGTATCCTCATTTCCATCCCCCCTTGCCCCAGGTTTGGGTATGAGGTCATGGGCCCCCCAGGTCTCTTCAGTGTCCACAGACACCCTGTGTCATTCTTAGAACTTCTGCCCGGCTCTTCATGTGGCAGGTGCCCCATGGAGGAGCAAGCCACTTCCCAGCACGTGCCCAGGCCCACATTCCTGCTGCATGTGTTCCTCCCCCCACTCCCCGCCCAGATGGTCTCTGCCAGGCCAGTTCAGCTGCCTCCCTCACGCCTCAGCAGCTCCTAGGACAGGGCTGTGCAAGAACCCAGCTGGCCAGGGTGCCTCCAGGCCTGGGAGCAGCTGGGATGCTTAGGGACACCGAGGGGTGGGTGGGGTGGCCCTTCCATGGAGACCTAATATCTCTGTACACGTGTGGGGTGGGGCTGCCAGGGGCTCAGAGGACAGGAAGCTGAAGGAGAGGAGCCCAGGACAGGAGAGCCCCACAGAGTCAGCTTTGACCCTCCAGCCTTACACCAAGTTCACAAGTTGGCTGGCTCAGTCCCCTCCCCCGTGCCCACTCCCCATGCATACAGTGTCTTGGGCAGCAGAAGCCTTGGTGAGCCTCATTGGTTTCTCTCCATGTCTTTGAGCTCACTGGTTGCTTCTGCACTGGGAAGCCTTGTGATGAATAAAAGCAGAGTCACCTGGGCTAGAGCCATGGGTGCCTGAGCATTTAAATCATCCCAGAAGGCTTTGCAAACGCCACAGGCCACCTGGGGCTGCCCCACCCTGACCTGTTCTATTCTGCTCTGACATGAAGATTTTGGGCGTCTTTTGTCTGCAGCATCTATTCCAAGACCTGACACACAGTGGGTGCTCACCCAGTCCAAGTCCTGACATTTAACAAGTGCTCAACTAGCATAGGCTTGGCACGTATTGGGCACTCACCAAGCACAAGGCTTGGCACACATTGGGCATCCCTTGGTAGAAGGCTTGTCACCTACTAGGCACTCACCTAGCACAAGTTCCAGCATGTGGCAAGTGCTCAGCTAGTAACAACTTGGCACACATTGGGCACTCCCTTAGTATAGAGTTGCACTCAACTAGCACAGTGCCAGGCATACAATGGGCACTTACCCTACTGAGAGCTAGATGGACATTGAGTCCTCACCTGACATAGAATTTGGCATACATGGGGCACTCACCTAGTGCAGGACCTAGCATACCACAGGGGCTCGCTGGTATTGGACTGACACACGGTGAGTGCTTTCTCAATACAGGTCCTGGCAAACAGTGGATGCTTTCTTTATGTAAGTCCTAGCACAGAGGGGTTGCTCTCCTATCCAGGACAGCCTAGATCAGGGGTCGGCAAACTGCGGCTCGTGAGCCACATGCAGCTCTTTGGGTACGTGCCGTCTCAAAAGTTTGCCGACCCCTGGAACAGCCAATGCTGTCCCTCACAACAATTTAAAAATTATTCGAGAGCCATAATTCTATTTTTACAAATAAGGAAAATTTAAAGCAATATTATAAAATGAAACTATGATAGTTTTATTTTCATTTTCAATTTTACTTCAGAGCCACATGTACGTACGTACCCAAAGAGCCGCATGTGGCTCGCGAGCTGCAGTTTGCCGCCCCCTGGCCTAGATGATCCTAGATGTGCAAACCCCACTCCCCGGTGAAATGGACTCCAAAGGATAAGGCCCAACCTTCCTCAGGCTTCCTCTCTGGACCTAGGACACTACCTGCCCTTCCCCCTGGCCTCCTGGGCCTCCCCACTCTCCCTGGAGCCCACCTACTCAGGCCTGTGCCCCCCCCTCCCCTCATCCGGCTTCTCCTCAGCCCTCCCCCATCCCCAGCGCTTCTCAGTCCTAGCTAAGCAGGACCTTCTCCCAGAGTCACAGGGCGCAGCAAGCCCCTAGACTCCTTGCCCCTCTGGAAGCATGCCCACTCTTATTAAGAAAAGTCAGAGGTGGGGGCTGGGGGAGCCGGCCTCCCTAAGTGGGGCTGGAGCAGTTGGATCCCACTAATGAGGCCTCATTACGGCCAGGGCCCAGCTGGGCTGCTGCCGCCTCCTGTCCCCATGGCCAGAGCCAGAGAAAGCCTTCCAGCCAGGGCTGCCTGTTCTGGGCACCCCGCCCAGGCCAGGGCAGCCAGAACCCAGAGCCCACCCTGGGTGGAAGTGAGCATTTGGGCATCATGGGTGACTGGGCCTTCCTGGAGCCAGCGGCCGAGCCAGGGCCTTGGCCCTCAGTCTGTGCCTGCAGGAAGTCAGTGGAGCGTGTCTGGGGGCCGGGTTGCGTAGGGCTGGCCCAGTGAGTGGCTGAGTCAGTGGAGTCTGAGGCCATTCTTAGAATACTTGCTTGAGCCAAGGCGTGCCCCCCAAAATGGGGATAATAATATACCTGTCTCAAGGGGTTGTTGGGAGGATTAAATGAGTTAATATATATATATTAACTTGATTAAAGTTAATTAATCATTGATTAACTCATTGATTAAAATGAGTTAATATATATATAATGAGTTAATATTATATATATAATATATATATATTATATACATATATGTATATATATTATATAATATATATAGTATATAATATATATACATATGATGTTTAGGACAGTGTCTGGCTCATAGTAGACACTTGATATGTGTTATCTGTTACTATTTTACTAATACTCACTAGATTCAATAATGGGTGGGGATTATCCCCATTTTAGAGCTGAAGGAACTAGACATGTTAAGTGACTTGCCTAAGGTTATATATGGTGAGAAACGGGCAGAGCTGGGGTTTGAACCCAGGCCTATCTGATTCTAAAGCCTGTGCCCTTTTTATTTCAATGTCATCCTGCCATGTACCCTTTGGGGTCTCCACCCTTACCAAACTTGCACGAAAGCTGTTCTTTACATCAGAATTTATTCACGCTTCCACTTGATGGGTGTTTACTAAGATCCTACCATGTACCAGGCCCTCTGCCAGCCTATTAATTTCCAAAGACACCTCTGCCTTCCCAGGACCAGAACACTCA